AGTCGGACGCTTAACCGACTGAGCCACCCAGGCGCCCCATGATTCCGCATTTTTAACAAGATATACGCTGCTGAGGCCTTTGCACGATGCCTGGCATGGCTGATCGTATTTACGTTTTTCCTTCTTTAGCACCTAAGTTCTGCATCCGTTTGTTGACATCATGCATCCCATCTGAAGCAGATCCCGTCACACGCATAACCGTATCTGACGTGAGTTTGGCTTAGTTCCTGATAAGACTAGAGTCCTTCTCTGTCGAGGGGAAATATGACGGATATCGAAGAGCACCCACACCCTCATGCACTCACGCTACGTGTAACTGCACCACAGGGAATGATTAGCTCTGTTCTGATGACCTAGGGGTCTACGACTCTGGCAACTGCAGCAGGAAGATGAGAGGGGCCACAGGGAAGAACGCTATAAACTCCTTTGCGGAAGGAATGGGTGAAGAGCTCTGGCTGCGGTCGGGGCATCTGAGAATGCGTGGTTGTGTGACAGTCTTGAAAGACAAGCACTGTGCGTGTGTACGTCAACGCTCTCCTCGGGACCTTGAAAAGCGGAGGAGACTGAGCAAATACACCTCTTGAGCCTTTCAAGGAAAAATATCTTCACTAGGAAATAAAGCCTTCTGGTGATAGCACCCACACATGTCACCGGAATGTTCTTCAGATCCTGCGTCCCCAGGCATGGCGTGACAAAATCACTTACTGAATAATATTTTTTCTTGGTCTTGTCCACACACTTGCCCTGCAGGCAAATCCTCCCTTTCCCACATGGCGTCCCTTCCACGGCTGGCAGCTTCTTGGTCAGACACACCATCTGGCCCTGGCGGACCACGGCACACCACAGGCGAGTGCACACGTCCATGCCAGGGCACACCGAGTACTCAGGCCCGAATGTCAGGTTGCACTGCTGGGTGGCATCATACGTCTGTCCGGGGAGCTCCTCAGGGCCCGATATCTGCTGGCGTGGTACATCTAGCAAACAGTTACCTGAAAGAAAAACCGAGATTGACCACTGCTCTGTGTTTAGGCTTCTACCTACCAACTCATGGGTCTGAAAACGCAGCGCTCCAGCTGGTGTGGGAGCATAAGCCGGCCACACGTCTGCAGGCTGATGCCCGGGGACAGGGGCTCCACAGGAGAGGGACGTGGGCGCCTCTCTGCATTCACCAACTAACTACCTCCCGGATTTTCACAGGCTACGTACGTGCTCTGGGGCATCTGTGATGATGACTGTGGGATGATCAAGTGAAATTATTTTGTAATAATGAGCTGTAAGAACAGTCACTGTGCTGAGGGGTGAGAGGAAATCGGGACGGACCCGGAGGAAATAAGACAATGGACACAACAACAGCAGCAAAAACAATACTAATAAATGAGCATTTACAACTCTGAGAAACAGAATTTGTCCATGCGCTCTGTTTATACCCTTCTCCACTGTCAGCCTAGGTCTTCCTCATGTGCCCATCCACGTCCCTCTCCATTAATTCCATAAATAATTACAAGGGGAGACCTCATTCATTCACTGCATCAACAAGCATTTGGTCAGCACCTGCGATGTCCCAGCAAACATACTAGATATGGGGAAAACACAAAAACGACCCAGATCTATGCCTTCACGTCTCCCCCAAAAATGAAGAAAATAAAAGAAATGAGGCGTTTCTTCTAGACTTATGTGAATTTTAACTACAGAGCACTCAAGAGCAGCAGAATAAAGGAGCAGTGGGCAAAGACAAGACCTAATCTTTGAAACTTTGGGACAAAGCCCTTCTTTTAATTCTTCTTCTTTGTCTCCCATTTGGGTCTAGTCTTGGATGCACCTAGTAGCTGTTGGGTGCTTGAAGCGTGTCACACAAATAAGTTGGTACTCTCCTTACATAGTACTGTGAGAAGCATCAAGGAATGACGCTGGGGAATCCGTAGAAGTGGGCATACATGCAGGCAATGTGAACTCATGAGCTGATACACGCCCCTCAAAAGCTTCCCGTAAGTATCCCTGCTCAGTGAGTTAGCACCATGAATTGTCTCTGGGCCTACAGGAGCATGCCCATTACCCATCGGTTTCTGCACGTTTTTGTTTACATGATTTTAGGATTTGCTCGCTGATTATTAATAGTACTAAACGTAACAAATATTTACACCATTCTCACTTCTTTCTTAACTTTTTAAAGGTTTATTTATTTTTGAGAGAGAGAGAGAGACAGAGCACGAGCGGGGGAGGAGCAGAGAGAAGAGGGAGACACAGAATCCGAAGCAGGCTCTGGGCTCTGAGCTGTCATCACAGAGCCCGACGCGGGGCTTGAACCCATGGACCACGAGATCATGACCTGAGCCGAAGTCCGATGCTTAACCAACTGAGCCACCCAAGAACCCCCTTAACGTCTTTAAATGTACTCGCTTACTTAATCCTCACAAGAACTCTTTGAGGCAGATTCTAATATTTTCTTTATTTTACAGATAAGAAAACTGAGAAATGAAAACACAGGCCACTGACCCAAGGTCATGTAGCTATGAGGGGTTTATGCTCAGAGTCTGCCTTCCTCATCATATTCCTTCTCGCCTCTGCTTAGCATGTGGATAGATTTCTAGCTTTTATTGCTGACCAGGCAGGCGCGTGGAGGAATCTTTTAAATGGTGGATACCCTGCCTAATGGTAGAAACACCTGGTCTAAAGTCTAATTCTGGCAAAACACGAAGTGGCTGAGTATTCTTGACCAAGCTCAGTTAAGCTTCCCCTAATTTTCAAGCTCTGTGGAATGCTTCTCTTCTCACTAGGACACTGTAAGCAGAAAATCAACTAACAGAAATATAAAGGGTGACCGGAAATTTACAAAACAATGACAGGTGACTCTATGCTCAACATTATTTAACAATTTTAGACACATTCAAGTCATTCTTCTCACTTAACAAAAGAAAATCACATTTCAATCCTACTTTCCACTGAGAAAAGGAACAGTTCAGCACATTTTAAGTATACTGCAAATGTTTTCACAACCACGGTCAAGTTTCTTCAAAGTGAATACCTTAGAATTCGTCAATCTGATGGAAGCATTATATGAAAATGAATAAAGAACAGAGTTCCTATTTAGTTTCCGAGCCAGAATGTTTGAAGAGGTAAAGCTTCTGAAGGCAAGCCAGAAAAAGCATTAAAAATAAGCATCCAGCCAAAGAGAACTCTGGGAGAAAAACATCGAGTTAAAAGAAAAACATCAACATCAAGTCAATAGGAAAGAATGATAGTCAAACCTCACCAAGCTTTGTTTGGAAGACAGTAAGACCAGGCACTGAGAATTCTATGAAAAGCGTTATCTTCATTGCTACATGAGAAGAGAACATTGTATAAACCAGGGAATGCTTGACAGGTGGCTGATGTTACAAGAACTGTCAACAAACGTCTGAGACAGCAAGAATACTTTCCGATTCTTCAAAAGTGCTGTTTCAAGAAATTTTTTTATTTTACTGAAAAGCACAGAACTGTAAGACTGCCTAACTAAGGATTAGGCAGGGGAGCCTTTAATGTGTGTGGATACATGTGGCCTGGGTGAACTTCGTTTGTCTTGAGCCAAAATAATTTACCACCTCTTTGTGGGCTTGTAGTCACTGACGTCTTTCCACCTGGCTAGGAGATGGTGAGCAAAAAGAAACATAGAATTCAATTTGAAATCAACTTCTAACAAGGAGACTTTGGGATGTGGGGTCTCTTTAAAAAGCTTAATACCCAAGTGTTAAGTTTTGTTTTGTTTTGTTTTGTTTTGTGTCGAGTAAAGTTGACACATGATGTTACATTGGTTTCACGCCCAAAGGGTAAATTTTAAAAATGAATAACACATTTGCTTTGTTATTAAAAATATGGTGTCTCAGGGGCGCCTGGGTGGCGCAGTCGGTTAAGCGTCCGACTTCAGCCAGGTCACGATCTCGCGGTCCGTGAGTTCGAGCCCCGCGTCGGGCTCTGGGCTGATGGCTCAGAGCCTGGAGCCTGTTTCTGATTCTGTGTCTCCCTCTCTCTCTGCCCCTCCCCCGTTCATGCTCTGTCTCTCTCTGTCCCAAAAATAAATAAACGTTGAAAAAAAAAAAATATGGTGTCTCAGGGGCACCTGGGTGGCTCAGTCGGGTAAGCGTCCGACTTCAGCTCAGGTCATGATCTCGCGGTTCGTGAGTTCGAGCCCCATGTTGGGCTCTGTGCTGACCGCTCGGAGCCTGGGAGCCTGCTTCAGAGTCTGTGTCTCGCTCTCTCTCTGCCCCTCCCCCACTCACACTCTGTCTCTGTCTCAAAAATAAATAAACCATAAAAAAAATTAAAAAAAAAATATGGTACCTCAGTTCTATGGTTTTCCCTTAGAGGTCACCTGGGGATGACTTCTTGCTTAAAATAAAATGATTTATTTCAGAATTGCCATTAATTTATTATTCCGGTGTTCTCATCAGGATTTATTGCTGCATTAGTTTCTGTGTATCCTGAAACATACAGTCTATCAGTTTCATCTATATGCTTAATTATGTCCTTTTGCAATATAAAATAGGTACGGACACCTCTACCAAATGGAATGCTTGAACAATAATAAAAAAGAAGTCAGCCTAGGGCCTGATTTTGAATCACACGGTATACAATATTTAAAACCTAAATCACAGTGGGTTGGATATACATTGTCCATTTTTCTAAAAATGTGTATAATTTGGGGCAAGAGCGAAAGAGGATATCTGTCAATCTTTCGGCATCATTTGCATTGACCTCTAAAAGCAGCCATCTACGGTTGACTTTTCTTAATGTGTTTGACTTTTATTCGCGACCACTTCTTCCCATCTATTTCCCGTATTTTTCAATTTATCCTAGTCTGAATTCCTATCTGGGCTCTTCTGGGCTCTCTTCCACAAATTGCCAAATTGTTTTTTTCTTTTCCTCCCTGCTTCCTTTTTTTTTTTCCCCTTTGTGTTCACATTTTCTCCATAGAAGAATGGATAGTTTCTAGAGGAAAGGCAACAGAAATGTGTCCATATTGCATATTCGTTTTTACCAGCCCTGTTCAATTAAATGCTTTAAAGGTGAAAAATTAAAAAATGTAAAAGGCAGAGATTCGTGATGAGCTATTAAAGGAAAGACGGTGGTGGTCTCTCCATGGCCACAGAGAAAGTTAAGGGGGATGCCAGGTAGGCCAGGCCTCCAGGAAATGGAGTAGAAAAATCTCTGGCTT